GGGGGGGGGGGGGGGTGCAGGGAGGGCACCCAAATGCAATATTGCAGGCTGTGCTGTGTGGCACGTAAGAGGCTACTGAGAAGCCAAGCAGGCAGACCCGTGTTGTGAGGGGTGGTAAGGCTTCTGGGAAGAAGGGACATTTAAGCTGCGAGTGAACTTTCTCATGAGTAGGAGTTTCCCAGGGAAGGGAAGGAGGTAGGTCAGGTGGTCTTCCTGGGAGAAGGAGCTGTGTGTGCAGAGGTGAGTGGGAAGAAGTGAGCTGTGAAACTCTTAGTCCCCCAGAAAAATGAATCTTTAGAGTGGTATCAGCAGCCACCTCTTCTAGACAGGTCTTTGCACCAGCAACTAGAGGAGTTGGGTTTTCACCTAAGATGAAAACAATAGCATACTCTTCAGTCCTGGGTGCTTCAGAGCCTTGATTTAACATACAAAATGTTATTTTTGCATTGATACAAAAAGGAAGGTATCCCCCAAACAACAACGACGACGACGACAAAAAGAAGGTATGACCTACCCATATACCTCAAAACCAAAATGGAAAAATAATTGAGATATGGGAAGGTCAGAATTCACGAGTCACGAAAGACTTTTTTTTTATGTCTATTTATTTTTTGAGAGAGAGAGAGAAAGAGAGAGCAAGCAGGGGAGGGGTTAGAGAGAGAGGGAGACAGAATCCCAAGCAGACCCCGTCACGTCAGCACAGAGCCTGATGTGGGGCTCGAACTCAAGAACTGTGATATCGTGACCTGAGTGGAAATCAAGAGTCAGATGCTTAACTGACTGGCACACCCAGGTGCCCCAGATTCACCAAAGGCTTTAAAACAAGCAAGTCACACTGGCCTTGCAGCCCATCTTGAGAGCCCCGTTATTGTGCACACATTACCAGGTCTCTTAGTCAGCTTTGTGCCTTCTCTCTGCTCCAGCCATCTCCTGAGGTGGCCCTGGGACCAGTGCCTCTCCTGCAGCAAAGACCATGTCCCTCCGCTCTGTGGGCCCCATGCGCTTGAGATCTGCACCCCCTTCCCATGCTCTCAGGCCAAGTCCAAAACATGCTTCTTCCATTTCCCCTCTTTAAGTCTGAGATAAAAATATCCAGAATGTTTTTAAGAACTCCACATTGTGCTTCCTTGAGATAAAAACCTGACCCTGATGTAGGTTAAAAGAAGTAACCTCAGCACTGGTCTTGGACTTACCCAGCACCTGCACTTGGCCGAGAGGGTACCTAAAAACTGCCAAGTCACTGGCATCTCCCCCCAGATGAGAATTCTGGCAGTCTTCTGGCCCAGGGAGGCCATATCACTTCTTGCCTGTGGGGAGGTGTGACTGTCCAATGGAAAAGGTAGGACAGTCCCTTTGGTATTTGGGGACTGTCTCTGGAATAAGCACTTCTGAACCTGACTTTGTAGAATCTTAACTAGTCATCTCAACAGCAGGAAAGAGGTATTGAGGACCTCAAAGAAAAAGAGAGAGAGAGAGAGGGAGAGACGTTTAGCAGAAAGTGAGAGTAAGAATAAGAATCCATATATTTAGTATCTTATTTTAAGACGAAGGGAGAACTTAGGAAGGTAGGGAGCCACTTGCTTTGTAGTTTACGAACTTTCCATGGGATTCTAAACCTATTTCTATCTCCACCTTCGTGTGTCCCTGATGCACGTAGTGCTGATTTTAAGCCAGTATCGTCTGCCTTGGAGCCAGACAAGAATCATGATGACGTGATTCTTTGGGATGACGTTTGGCAGGTGGGTCGAATGTTCCGTTTTCCCAGGCGCTGTGATGCTAATGATTAGTACCCACGGATAGCAATGAGGCCACAGAACCCTCCATTGATAAGACTTGGACTGTGCATTTTCTTTGTTTGCTAGGGAGAGAATTTTCCCTGCTATAGCCAGAGTCCTCGCTGCCCTTATCTGTTAGATGTATGACATTCTGTGCATGCTAAGTGGTTAGGTTTTGAGGGGAGGAAGTGGACATTGCCATAAGATAATGGCTGTACCCCTGCACTTTGGATCTGAATAAGCAAGTCAGATAGATATCCACCTCCAAAACTCACACCTCTCCATCGGCTGCTCCCTGGAAGTAGGCAACGTAGTATTCCACCTCATACAATGAACCGAAACTGTGTTTGGATGGTGCCTGGTGATAGCAGAGGCCATGGAAATGGAGTTGCTGGACCACACAGTAGCTTTTTCAACAAACAGATTTGGAGCTCTGATCAGGTAGCTGTGAGCCCTGTCAGGACTCTACTTAATACACTGTATTCCCCAGTTTCTTTCATTGTGCAACCAAGTTTGGGACCCACTGGCCAAGAGTCAGAGCCATTAATAGAGCAAACCCCCCAAATTGTGTCTTTAGTCCATTGAAGGGTTATTATTTCAAAACTAATCAGTTCGCCAGTATATTTGGATACCTAATGTGGGTATGAGACCAAGAAGGCCCTTCTGTTATAGAGCATAAAGTCTCATATTGATCAAATAATCCAGACTTGTCCTACTCACAGATCCTCACTGTGGGAAAGATTATGAAAGATTCTTCAGTCTAGTCCTCCAAAGTAAAGCTGCTTCTATTTTTTCCCATTGAGTTCTGTCACATAATCACTTAATTTAGCTTGAGTGCATCCACACCTGGTATCTTCTACCCATGAGCCCATATTGATGTTGGAAAGTCCTCACTCAGGCAGACCATGGGGCAACACCTCTCTTAACACCCTGAGGTTTGGCAGTTGCTTTAGCAACCTAGTGAGGGGTTGGGCGTTAGCACCAGCTGGTTAAGGATCACTTATTATTTGTAATTACTGTCTATTTCATTAATGAGACTGGACATCAAACTGCCCCAGTTAAGCTTAAAACCAGCTGTCCCTTTACTGACGTTTACTCAGTTCCAAATAGGAATCCCAACACACTGCATTGTCTCACCCAGTTTACGCTGTGAGAACCAGAGCAAGTTGGGCAAATTTACGCTGGAATGGTTTCAAAAGGTTGGTGTATATTTCTGAACAAGATGTACAAATATTTTTAGGGGTTTTAAAAATAATGTGTCATATTTTCTGTACTCTTCTTAGGAACAGTGTCAGTGAAGAAAAAAAGGTGGCTTTTGACAATGTGACGTTTAGTGGGGTTGTTTTTCGAGGCTGAAATATTAAAACAAAGTATGCCAGTGGCGAAGTACAGGGTCTAGTCTAATTTGTTACCTATCAGTAAGAGAGGAAGTGTCCAGAGTGTTACTGTGAATAACGTTCTATGAACAAAAGCTTCTTTATTTTCTACCTGTTGATTTGAGAAATGAATATCAAGATAAGGTGTTAGAACGTTACAGTATATGTATACACATTTCCCTTTTTGGTTAATGAAGTAGCCTGGAAAGTTAATAGATACAGAAGGACAAATGTTTTTGAGGCGGGGTGGGGGTAATTAATACAAAAAAAGTTACTTGAACTGTTTGCATTGTTATTAATCCATTGATATTTATTTCAATTCATTTCATGTGATTATTTTGTTTATTAGATCAAAGAGTTTGAGATTTATTATAAAAAAAGGTCTTTCCTTTTTTTTAGGCTTCTAATTTTTATTTTTGAGAAGTAAAGGCTGTAAACTTGACCAATTTGAATAACCCTAAAACTGCATGAACGAGAGATGTTCTTAAAACCACACGGCATGACTCTGTAGGCAATGTTAGAAGATTTTGGCATTCATTGTTGAATTTCGTGCACACGTTTTATTTTATTTTATTCTTAATTTGCATGTCCAGAAAGCGGTTCCTTTTTTCCTCCCCCCCCACCCCCCCGTTATTTCATTTTCTTCTCTGTGAAGACACTGTAAATTGATTTGGATCTCATCTCCTTTCTGTTAGAGTTATTTTCTTCTGTAGTGTCATGTAGAGAGGTATCTTTGGTATCCTTCTTTGAATTCTTCAGGGGGTTACAGATCACGGGTGACAGAAAAAAAAATCTCGTTCACATGTGTCGCTTACTTATTGCACACCTTCGTATCCTTATAATTTCTCTAATTTGCATGTTACAGAACTGAAGCCAGGACAAGCAATAGAACTTAAAGCGAGAGAACGTTCCGCAGTGGTCGTTGACTGGAATAATAATCTGCATGTTGTTTTCCCTTTTCCCTCCTGCATGCAGGGATTTGGTTTCGTAACTTTCGAAAATAGTGCCGATGCGGACAGGGCGAGGGAGAAATTACACGGCACCGTGGTAGAGGGCCGTAAAATCGAGGTGCATGTCCAAAATATTTTCCTTTTCATCTTTTTCATAAATGTCTGCTTCGCGCTCATTCGTCGTGCCAGATGCATCACCGTGTGTTGTATGTGACCCTGTTCCCTCCTCACTGTTTATATATATATATATATATTTATATATAAAAAGGAAAACTGGCCTTACTTTTTTTTTTTTAAATTTTACTTTATCCTGTCATTCTTATTACTGATGAAAAGGTGAATGGCAATAAGGGAGACACAGGAAAGGTTAATCGGAACTTTTTTTTTTTTTTTTTT